ACATTGCATATTTCGATTGTATTATTCGATATTTCGATTTTTTGTAGATAAAAATGTACCCGAGTTTTCGGTTTGCGTTTATAATTCATTAACAAATTAATTCAAATTAATTTACTCCAAGTACGGTGTAGATTTCAAAAACGAGCCCAAAAAATCTTAACGGATAACGGATGAAAAATTATTGAAGAATTCCACAACTTTTGTTTGAGCACAAGGATAAATTTAAACCTATTCGACTTATTAATAGCTCATGACCTCTGCCCAGATAACTAGAAAGTTAAATTGTTCTTTTTCTCTAATATAGATTTTTTTATTTTTAGGTCGAACATTTTCAAATTTTTTTAATGAGACTACAAGTAGGATATACACAGTTGAGAAGCACAATGAGAGAAGTGCAATCTGAAAGAATTTAATATGTTGTTTCCAGCTAATCCAGACTATGGAGGAGATTTGTTCGAACAGATTTACAAGTAATAGCACAAATGTACTTTGCAATCTACCTTGCTTTGACTCGGAATTAGAAAACACGTAGGACATACACAGTTATTTGTCTAAAACATGCAATCTAAAAGAATTTCATGTGCTGCTTCCAACGAGAACACAATGAACACAGTACAGGAGATTTATTTGAACAAGTGATTATTATAGATTTACAAGTAGAAATGATTGTTTTTACGCAGTTTACATTCAAGACTCAACTGAAGTGCCGGTTGCTTACTCAAAATCAAAGCTATTTCCTGTTCATAGTGTTTGAATAGGTAAATGGTACGTTTCATAACAAACTTTCTTACGAAACATTATCTAGTATTACAAACATCTTCAAACCGTAAGTAATTTATAGATATCTCATAATTGCCATGTATAACATCTACTATTATCAAATGACTAGTATTTAGATTTCAAACTGCTGTATATAACTTACAGTGCGTATTCAGACTATCTAGTTTAGCATCTTTTTCTGCTTTTTTATTTTTTATTTATTAAACCATTAATAGATTTGATTAACGGCAAGTCATTAGAATTTATATTCGAAAATGTGCATGAATAGAAGATTTATTTAAAAAAAAATTATTTTTAATTGCCTTCCACCTGCCTACTTTTTCTGTTTTTTTTTTTTCAATTCATCTTTATTTTCACCTGAATTAATTTAAGATTTCTCTTATAATACTATTGACAGCACTTTACATTTGTGTTATGTTGAATTTGTTTTAAAATGTTCGACTCTATTTTCATTTCCAAACGATATTAGAGGAAAATAATAAAAGATTATGTCTGGTCATATGATTTTATTTTATTGAGATTAAATGGAAAATTATTGAGGTTATAAAATTTAATTTTATAATCTTGAAAGTTATTTGGGAGGTGTAGACTTTTCCATTTTTTTTTTGTTGTTTTTCGGAATTTATGATATTATGACCATTAATGATTAATATTTTTTACTATTTATAATAAATCTCTATAAAAATCTTATATGTGGTTTATTGAGTAATGAGGCTATGCGTTTAATGATACAATTTTGATTTTTTTTTTTAATTATTTTATTTAAAATTTAATTAATCAACGTTCTTATTAATTCATATAGGGTCAAGAGTTTTGATTATGGGTAATTCTTTCTATGAGAAGTAGTAAATTTTTCACAATTTTTGATATGGCAAGGTGTTTTAAGAATATCACAAGTGTGGAATATATAGTTCGTGGGTCTATCCAAAAATCTAGTTGCCTAGCCGTTCCAATGAAATAGCAACTTATTAGCAAAAATAGAAATTAAGCAAACTCAAAATTATAAGAAAATGTAATATAAATATACTAGATTAAAAGACTAAAAATTCTTGAACTAACGAGAAAGAAGAAAAGACCAAATTGTCCTGACCTAAAGAAACGTGCTTAAGAGAGAAATTACGATTGTTTAAGAATTTCAGGAACGAAAACAATGTCTAAAGCAATTATTGTTTATTTTAAATATAAAATATATTTGGAAATTTTAGTCGGCAATCACACTTTCTAATTATGTCAGAAATACACTTTTGCTGATTAGGATCATATACCTGAATATTATGAAGTAGAATCACTTTTATACCTAACCTCCGTAAATACAAAGTAAATAATGGTAAATGACAATTACGTGAATTCTGTATTATATTTTATTGGGATTACTATGGAATTGTACATAATCGTAATTGTTCTACTTTTCTCTCTACATGTCTAAATAATTGTAATTATAGTAATCACAAACACAAACTATATAGAAAACTCATTATGTAATGAAGAATTTATTTAGTTTTTTAAAGTGTTTTATCATTTCTAACTAATTTTCACATAATTCAAAAAAGAAAACAAATCCTAAAATTTGAAAAACTTTTAAAACTTAATTAAACTTTTCTTAAACAAAACTTTTGTAAAATTCTTTTCTATATTTAAAAAAAAAAATGAAAAAGTGAAAGGAATGAGTGAAAAGAAAAAAAATACACAATTTTCTATTTTCCTTATTTTTTCTTTAAAAACAATTAATTAAATAAGTGTTAGAGTGAAAAATTATAACACAAAAGAGTGGGAGCGGGTTGGATGGGGCATAGAGCATAGAAATTGTAATTTGCGATTTTATACACAAACAATTATTATGTGAATGTCTCCAAGCGACATAAAACTATTCTTTGCTCTACTTTACATATAAAATTTTCTATACGTTCCTATTTAATAGTAAACTTTACTCAAACAAACAAACACACTTATCATGTTAATAAATCTCTGCTTAACAGCATAGTTTTCTATAATAAAAAAAAACTATTATAAAGTATATCATAGAGAGGAAGATAGGATATTATAAAATTTACAAGGATATAAAACGTTAGAATTTCATTAAAATGAGACAAAAGACAAGAGTATAAAAATGAATAAACAACAAAAAAATTTTGTATGTACTTACATAATAATGTGGATTATTTTCCACAAGCGAAATTTCATACATAAGAAACATTGAAACTCTTAACAATTTTGTAATTAACGGTGCCGACTATTATTTCATGCTTCAAAAACATACTTTCATGTAGAAGGCTTAACTGATGTTATTCAACTATCTTTACATATCACATATAGGCCCAAATATAATATGGTAAATCTATTGTACATTGTACAAACAGTAAATGAATTGTTTTATTATTATTACTGTGCCACATAAGTACAACGTTCTTTCATATAAAATATTGCTAGAGGAATATACAGTAGAAACTTAGTTTTCCATCCAGTTATTCCAGCAAATTTATAGACCCTGGCAGATCGTTTCAATAGCATAGTAGATTTTTTCATATTTTTTAGTGCATTAGAGAATAATGTTATTAAATTTAATAGACCTTTTAAATTTTCATGTAATTGAAAGTGAAATTACAGTTGAAAAATTCATACATACTTAATTGATGAATAAATATTTTGTTATATAATCAATTCCAAATCATTGAAATTTATTTGACTTTAAAACAAATCAATTTTGTAACTAGATTAATTAAATATCATTGCTAGAATTCTTATATTTTTTATCCTTAAATTCTAAATTTTGCACTTAACTAAATTATAATTTCAACTTATATAAATTTTATCAGGATTCAAATGTAGATTTCATTAATAAACGTGTATGTAGTGTGAATATATTTAAATTTGGGATGCAGGCATATTATACGGTCTATGTAAACAAATTTAAATAGATATTATTCTCTTGTACTAACAATAGCAATTTTAAGAACAGTATGCAAACTATTTTCACAGTGGTGTTATAAATTGTTTGTCATACCTGATTTACAAGCAGGAGTTACAAATGAGTTAAAAAGACTCTTTGAATTGCGTAAATCCCAACAGAAATTTAAATTTGATAATTTAGTATCAAAGCAGCGCCGGTGAGGATTCCTCCCAATCAAAGGTTGTACTAAGAAAGTCTATTATTTGAAGAGTTCATAAAAATTATTGAAATATCTTTCAAGTCATAGCTGGCGTACAATTGTTATAGTATCATAAACATATTTCCAAAACTAGCGATGGGGTAGTCACCCACCACGTTAACATAATCTATTAGGAAACTGAAGGTTCTCTCTGAAAAATCAAGCTACTGTTAAAGTTCTCAAATGCGGTAATGTGAAAACATTCAAAACTATTGAATTTATTCTTCAAAATGCTAACTACTTTTTCCTTAAAGTTAATTTACACGCATTGTACTTGTAAATCCCGAAAATTTGCCGATATATCCTAGAGTTAACTAAGCCAACTCCTATTTATTTATCTCCGTTCTTCATAAATTTTTTTTTAATTATGCTTTGAGACTAATATGAATTCATTTCATAAAATAGAAAGTTTAAAAAGAGTTTTTTAAACCTTGAAAAAATGAGGTTAAAATGATAAAAATTATTGAATAAATTTTTTCTTTCAACACAATTTATGAATTCTATGTTTTGAATTTTGATGAGAATGAAGCAATCTTTTCACCATTTAGTTAGATAATTATTTGAATGAAATTTTAATGTTTACAATAAAAAGGATATTAGGAATTTTTTTTTTATTTTTTATCTTTACGTTAATTTTTCAGTTCAAGATCATTTTTAAATTAAATTTTACTATTAAATTACAAAATTTAAGATTTTTAGGAAAATTTAAATTAGAATTTTTTATATTTTGTGATTTCACTCCCATCTAGTGTTAAATATTGTAAACATTGAAAACGATTAAGTAACTAAATATTAAAATGTTCGCCGAAATATATGCAATTTTTTTTTAAACTAAAGTAAATACGATTGATGTTTTTATTCTTAACATTTTTCTTCCCGCGAACTTCTTAGAAACTAAAAAAATAGCTGACTTTTTCATATTCGAATTATAATTTATTGGAACCTATAATTTTATTCAAATCAGTGATGTAAATAAACTAACTACAACTACGTACATATACTTTATAAAACAATTAAATTATTGAAAATTAAATTTTCGGAGACCTCAGATTCTTATGTACAATATTTATTCACTTTAATTTCACCGAGATCATCAGAATCTCTTAAAAAATTTTAAAAATCAATTTAATGCTATATTCAATAGGAATAAAATTACAGTTCTTCTGAAACATCACTTGCATCACCATATTCAATAGGAGATTTACAAAGACAACAAATATTCTCAGATTCTCTATAACATTCAGAACAATAAACTCCTTTACATTGTGGCGTTTCACATTTTACAGCGTTTTGATCTCTTAAAGAAAAGTCAAGAGATTAATTTTATTAATGTTAAAATTAATAATCTGGGATATTTTTTACGTTAAAAATGATGCACAAAGAACACAGTACAAATTCTTTCCTTCACCAAATATTTTTCGAAAAATATACCACCTAAAAAATAACATGGAAAATATTTTTCTTGAAATAAAATGATGGCCATTAATATATGAAATAAAATTACTGATTAGTTTTAGCTCTTATCCAATCCATGCAACTAAATTCCATTCCTTCACCATTTTTAAGAATTTTAGATCGTGCTTGTCGTCTTGCTATTTTAATGAAACAACCTTAAAAATTTAAAGCAATTTATAAAAATTAAATATTTTCCAAATCGTAATTACTTCGTTTCAAAAGAATTTCATTATATAACCAAACGGCACGTTCCTTTGCACGTTCTGGATAAAAAATCTTCATTATTATCTGGCGAAATCTTAAAGCGTATGGTTCCATAAATAAAAATATCCAGCAAACAATTAGTACAGCACCTATTCAATTGTCAAAATTAAAATATACAGAGATTGTTTAAGATAATTTTTAATTTAATTATTACCTATTTGGTAATAACGTTTAAAATTCAAAGGTTGAGGAATAGGTAGGCAAGGTGTTGGATCCATTTCGTATTTTGCTGCTAAAGGTTCAAATGAATTTATAACTCCATTATATATGTCAGCTAAAAAACCAACACCAGAGACTTCCACTCCAAAAAATGATGGAGCTGATGTTAAAATGATCACATATTTTCTTTGATTAAAATTGAAAATATTATAATTCTAACATACCCTGTAATGGTTCCTCTGTAAGACCAATTTGCCGCATCATATTTAAAATAGAGTAAAGGCTATAATCAATGAGACATGTACAAAATATTTGAGTTGTTGTTATTATCAAAAATATCACAGATCTTCCAATTTTCAAAATTTCACTTTTGACAAATGTCATTGAGGAGATCTGGAATAATTATTTTAAATTAATTGCTAAGGTAATCAAAAGCATTACAAATTTTACATAATACCTTCACATAACGCCTTTCCTCCTTCTTTGTTAATGGCAGCGCTAATTCCTTCCTCATACTTTTTCTTTGATTGTCAATATCAACAAATTCTTTAGTTATGAAGTAGTTGTCAAATTGATTACTTGTCATATATTTGTGTTTATAATACATTGACCTAAAATTAAGCCTCACCATTAGAACAATTAAATAATGTAATTTATTTCCTAAATTTTACTTAAAGATCAATCTTAGAAACATAAAACCAGCTAAAAATTCTGCCCAACCAAATATCACAAAGAAATTTTTTAATTCACCATGAATGTCATCTTTAATGTCATTACCGATTTCAGACCAATTTTTTGAATGATTTGTAACAAAATAAAAATCATGATCAAATTTTATGGATGCATCAAAAATATTATGCAAATCATTCTGAAACTTCTTCATTCCTGAAATAATAATAAATTTTAGAAACCAAAGAAATAATAAAATTTTTTTGTGGAAATTTGGTAATACTTTCAGTTACTTGCAAAATAATTGTATCACTAATAAAATCTTGAAATTGACAGAAAACATCGAATAATTTTAATGAATAACAGAGTCCAGTAAAAACTTGTGCCACCTGGCATACAGATTTAATTGATTCCATTGCAATTCTAAAATATTTCGTGTGATTTTAGTGGAATTAAGTTTTTAAATTGTAAAAGAAAATATTTTCAATGTACTCGCATTCATTGATAGTATCATTTGATATTTTAATACAACGTTCAAATGGATTGCCCAATTCTTTATCACAAATCATACTTCTACTTGTTAGCCAACTAAAACCTTGTTTAATGGTGTTCACTGAAAAAAAATTAATGTACACTTACAGATTTTATGGCGTGTGTTCTACAATAATACAGTTTTCAAATTTAGGAGGCAAATAACGAAATGCCAGTCTCATTCAACAACTGAAATTGTTGTTTCGAAGACAATTAATTTATGAACATTTTCCTAATTTCAGATCTAAATTCAACTTTACCACTCAATAGTACAATTTTAGTTGTTGAAATTAGTTAAGGTAACTTTTGATCGACTTTTAGGATTTTGCCAGATATCAATTGAATTGAATTTAGCAGTTTTCAACTGAATTTTTTTTCAAAACCTTATTATTGTTTTATGATTCAAGAGCTATAATCCGGCCTTACATATTTCTTTGAGCAATTTAACGATTTCTTTAAAGACCAATTCAATTTTCTTTAAAACTTTTTCCAATTCACCAAGTGCAATTTTAACAGAATTTTTAATAGCAATTAATGGTGATTTAACAATATCCAAAATCTCCTTGAGAGCTTCCTTTAGCTGTTCCTAAAATATGTTTACATATGTCAAATGAAATTCAACAAAAATAAAACAAATTATTAGCGACAAACCTGGCCGCATGTAAGACTTTTTGATAAAATTTCAATATTTTTTGTTATAATCAAACCTGGACCAGTTGCAGTTAATACCAATGCATATGCTACTAAAAATGAACGGCCTTTAACACTGCATATAATTGGAATCATTAGCACTAAATGACATCTATTATCGAAAAAAAAAAAATTAAAAAATTTTAATTCACAAAAAATTTTTCGTTTTTTGGCATCAAATTTATTTTTTTAATATGACCTTAATGATTTGCTGAAGGTTAAACAAACTGTAATAAATATTCCAAGAAATGCATAAAATAATGCTGTTTTGTTGATATTTGAGATTTTATAATTTGATATTATTGCGTAATAACAAATGCTTGCAATTAGAATTCCAAGTAAACACACAAGAATAGAATAACAGCAACATTTCTTTAGCTTCATTCTTCAGACTGTTTCTGGAAAATAAAAATAAAATATTAAGCAAAAATTTATTGCAATTTTGATTTTAAATTGCATCTGACCGTCTTTTCGGCAAATTTAATTTTAATGGGTTCTTAATTGCCAAATTTATATTTTCAGAAGTTGACATTTTTATTTAAATTTTAAAAATTTTTTTAATATATTTTATACATACATACATACATTGGTACATAATAATATGTAATATTGTATGTCAAAATCACAAATTTTAAACTTGTTTATTTTGCATTTAATTAAAAATATTTTTAATGTAATTTTGTTAAGTGAATTTTATTGAGTGAAGATTTTAATCATAAGTTCGAGTGTGAAGGATGAATTTTGAATTTTATTGCAATAATTTTCATTAACAAAATTTATATACTAAAAATTTCTGGTTTATTGTAGGCTATTTTTATAATCCATACGTCCATAATGCGCGGTGAATCTGCAGTGCATGCAATAATGTTAACATATAAAAATATAAGGTATGGTTTAAAGTTGTTCTTTTGTGTACTAGATGGCATCTCAGTGACTAATTATTCTACGCATTGATTTTCATCCAATCTAAGCTTCAACATTTACATAAAAACTCTTTATTGTTATGTAGATCCTGTATTGTATAAGATTCTTATAAATTAAAGTTTTCATAAGCTCGGATTGAAATTGAAATATTATTGATGTCGGTCACATGATCTTTGATATAAAAATCATAAAAAATTATCTACACACCAATAAATAATATGTCACTTTTCCAATATCCTATTCATTTACAATATTAATTTGAATCGGATGTAACATTATTTGATGGAATTTCCGATCATATATTTTTATAAAAATAAAAAACCATTTGTGTAACTATAATGTTTCTTTAAATCGGTAAGTCCGCCTTATAAATTCGGGTAAGTTATTATTTTAATTTTTTAAAAACAAAGAAAAAGAAATTAATGTTAATATTTTTTTGTATAGGTGAATCATTAAATCCCATTAATTGGTTCAAACGGATGTTATACTTCTACTTTTATTAAAAAGATGATAAGGCAAAATATTCGACAGTTTATTCAAAAAATTTCCGTGTTAAAGGGAACTCACATGATGATCTCAACTAAATGAGCGCACAATTTCACATTAAAATTGAAAAAAGTAACTATTTCTTGTTGCTATTATGATTTAGAATAATCAATATACTTTGATTTCTCTCTTTTAGGCACGATTACAAGAATTTTCATTAAAACATGAATCTCATCTTCTGCTATTGTTGAAAACAAAATTAAACTGAAATTCATTTTTCATTTCTTTATCAATTCCTCATTCTTTTCTTCTTATACTTGGGCATATATAATTATCGCTTGAAATAAACATATGAAAATTCCGGGTCGAATCCCGGAACATATGAAAATCCCGGTCGAATTATCTTAAAATATAATTAAGCTCGGAATTGACATTTATTTTTAACAAGTTTCTCTTTTTAAATCCTTTTCGAATTTACTTTAAATCATTAAAATTTTAATTATAATTATTGAATTTACTCTAATCGGCGTTTAAATGCGTTTAATTAATTTTCGGAAGTTCAATAATAATTATAAATAATCGGAAATTCAATAAAATTATAAATGCATAGCTAATTACCAAAAATATTGTAAAAAGATTTTAATTTTAAAACCAGTATAAAAGTTTAAAAATATTTATTTAAAATGCAAATTCTTTAGAATTGATTTTTAATCTCATAGGAGTACCAAGTACGCCTCTATTAAGTATGTCAACAAGAAGATTTTATAGGAAAAATTTATAAAATATATAGCAATTTATTAATAACTGCAAGCACACTTATGCAAATTTATGAAATTTATTTACTTCTTGTTTAAAAAAAAAGCTTATTGTGTTTATAATAAATTGTTTACATCGTTGAATATTTATTTATATTGTATGTGGAATAATACACACCGTGTAAAGCTTAACTATACAATATATTTTTTTTAAAAAGAGAAGATTAATGAGTTCATTAAATTTGCAAATTATTTCATTGGACGATCCATTAAGAGATCGATCGATTTTGTAATTAATATGGAAAAGTTTCCTCAACATATCTTCCGAAATTATTTATTATTTTCTGAATAACTCTAAAATATTTTAAATCTGATCTCAAATATTTAAATTATTTTCTCAAATTTTAAAATAAATCTTGCTACACTATTATTTTTCTTCCAATTATTTTTTTCCATTTCGTTCAAATTTATTTATTAAAATTAGTCTACCTTGTATTTCTGTACTATGAAAATTATGTACTATGGTTTTCATAAAAAAATTAATAAAATTTTATGTTGTTTTACCGCATTTTATCGAATATAATAGTGTCTAGACGGAAAAGCATCTTGTTAAGGTAACAAATAGTGTAGAAAAAAATAAAATTAAATTTATTTTGCTTTGTTAAAGATTTTTAGTATTAGCAGTTTCTTTTTAATGTTTTAATTATCTTTATTCTCGCCTCTACAGCTGCTTGAAAACTGTAATTTTCAATCTGCATGATTGAAACACGCAACTCGTTCAACTACAATGTGTTATACTTATGTCAAATCCTTCCCGCAATATTTATTATTAAAAGCATTTGCTCATATACCTTCAATGTGATCCGTACATTATTTACTGGATCACAAAAAATTGAAAACGAGTCTTAAAATGTAGGAGATCCCCAACATTTTTCTATTAGTCCATTTAGTTAATTCAGACTACTTATTTTAGCGAATAAGCCTGCGTATAATACCAAAATACTGATCTGGTATCTAAATTTATTCCTAAATACTAACGAGCTGCTTGGATTCTTTGATGTGATTAGAACCGTTATCCAATTTTCAAATAATATTCATCAGACATTTTTAATATTCCAAACCTTCAAACAAAAATTTATTAATAACTAAAGTAAATTATTCAATTAAAATCAAATATGTACTCTACACATCATTTCAACTTTAATTTTCAATTGCATGATTAACCCAAAAATATGTAATGTTTACACAACGTGCGTGCTGCCGCTCTTATAATCCTCACGTTGACAATGAAAATGAAAAATAATTTTTTTTTGTATTCATTTTGAATTTGTTTCAATAAATATTTTTTTTTTTTTTGTTTTTGGGTCCATCATTAAAATCGGATATGAATTTAATGATTTTTTTTCATTTTACCTAGCTTTAGTTATTAAAATATGTGTGACAAGATAAGAAATTGGTTATTGAATCAAAATGATATTCAGCAATAGTACTGCAGCAGCATTATGAAATTATTGTAGACTTTTTTTTAATGTTAATGAAAATTTAAAAAAATAAACTATAAAATATTTTTATTTAATGTTATATAACAACCGAAAAAAAAATAATAAAATAATAAAATCATCTTTCAGATTATTAAAATTTTAGGGGAATGCCGTTAACAAAAAAAAAAATGCAAATTTGGGCAGAAGAACGTGTTTTATAAATTTGCGTAATTTCAAAATTTTTTGAAAGTCTAAATTTTGTATGTTATTGCAAATACCAGTTATTCTTTTATTTATTTTATTTTTTAGTTTACTGTGAAATTTGTTTTTTTTTTTTTTTTTATTGGAATCATAGAGTCATAAATTTTTGTTAACTATAATATTTTACATTTAATATTTTATAAAACTAACAATTTTCCTTTGTGTTATATTGAGTTTTTTTTTTGAGTTAATTTTAGAATCATAAATTATATTAAAGATTAATTGTTGGATTAAATAAAAATCAATTTTTAGAATTTTAATAATAATTTATCTTTGTAAATTATTTAGGCACTTATATTAATAAAATTAGTAAAAAAAAAATCTAGTTTTAAATTGTTGGATTCATTTGTCATTTCAAACACAAATCTTATGTCAAATTAGATTTCATACCGTTTATGATTGTGTACCAACATGATTGAAGGGTCATTTTTTATTGATTACTTTATGGATTTTATATCATACTTAGATTTTTAATTACCTAACTGTTTAACTACTTTATTTAATAACTAAATAATTACATATCTCTTTTTAGGTGGCATTGCATACAATAAAGGAGGTGTTATGATTGCGCTAAATTCCACATATGGAATTTTCAAAAGTCTCGAGAATAAAAAACAGAACAAAATTCAGGACCCAAAATTGATTTTTCACTGAGAAATGCTTTTACATTTAACAGAGCCATATCTCAAGGACAACAATTAACAGAAATTCTTGAAATTTATTATTTGGTTTCGGCTTCAGAAAGAAACTAACTTACACCCTTTTCAGGAAAAGCAAATCTTCACCATATGCTAAATTTATTTTTTTTGGATTTGTATTTGGTAGAATTTTTTTTTTAGTTTTCTTAGAATTAAGTAATAAGTATATAGAATATTAAGAAATCAGTATTATAGTCATATTTTTATAAGACATTTTTCTAAATATTATAAAATATTATTCAGAAAATGTTCGGTTATATGCTGACCACAAAAATTTTTTTAGCTATATAACAAAAGCTATTTTAATATTATTAGTCATTAAAGCAGGAAAAGTCTGTAAATAGGATGTGCAAAACAAAATTTATAATCAAAATAGAAAAATTCTGTAATCGTGACGACATGATTTAATTGAATTATTCATCGGAATAATTCTGCTTTAAAATATTGTTGTATAATACTATTTAAAAGTAATTAGCTAATTGTAACAAGAAGTACAGAGATGAAAGCATTTTATAAATAATATTAAAGAGAATGCCTTTTAACTATAAGTTTTCAGTTAAATCATTCATTATAATTGAATTTCAATTAGTTAAAATTAAATCATAAAAATTTTTTTAATTCATTCAACAACTCAGTGAGTTTACTTATAATTTCGTTAAGTAAATTTCGTATAACCGAAGTAATAATTAAAGTACAGTGTAGCAGTGTAGTGTAGTGCACAGTCTCTTCTTCTTTTCATGTTATTGATTTTTATAGTTAATTCTTTAAACTTTATCTGTTCTTATTCTTATTTGTCTCCTCTTCTCATTGTTTCAAATCGATATACTTTAATAGACATGTCTTGCAATCATATCTTCTGCTCAGGTTATACCGTTGAATGGACCTTGCAAAATGAGTTTTTCTTGTGAATCCAGTATTCACAACAGTACCAATTGAGAGCAATAAGATTTATTCATGATATTCTTCTCCTGGTTTAAAAAAATTAACGTAAACACTTAAAAACTCAATTAAAAGCGGAGAGACTTTCTGAGTGCATATTTGTATTGCACTTCACAAATTTATTGCAGAAATTTAAATTAAAATTAAAGCCAAAAATATGTGAAAAAAATTTTAAGGCCAAATTATGTTTTCTTTTTCGATTAATTTCGCATTTTATTATTAAAATTATTATTATTTTTATTAATATGTCTTATAATTTTTGTAAAATGTGTGCTCCAAAAACGTAAACATTGTGTGGTTAATTTAAAGCAACACAGTTAAAATTAAAATATTTACCGTTCCCACATATCAAAGGTAGTTTAAATGAAATTTTTAATTTGATAAATGAGATCTTTCATATAAAAACGGTTCTTCGCTATTTAAAATGAAATTATTAAATATTTTAATTTTTGTTATAAAAACTTGCCGGTGTAATTAATTAACAATTTCGCTTTATAATCCAATTGATTAAGCATCTTTAATTTTAACATTTTTGAAAAAAAAATAAACAAAAAATAAATTTTGTGCTTCATTCATTTACAATTATGCATGCATTGTAATAAAAAAACAATAAGCTTGTAATTAATTAGTGAGCAAAAATTGCTGTTAGTAGATCAAGGGTGTTGAATTGTAACATCAACCAAATGTTAAGTTTATACTGATTTATGAATGAAACCCTCATTACTGTAAACATTTTCGTACATAATTTTGTAAACAGTTTCCAATTACTTAACCAAAAGTTTAAAGTTAACGAACTAAAAAATTCAAAAACAAAAAATTAAAAATTTCATTAAAAATGGAATTAAAATGCTAAGATAAAAGAACAGCAGGAATTTATTCAATAATGTGTGTTATTTTTATAATTTTCATGTCTTAATACTGCAACATTTTTTCTTATATGATGATAATAATTTTATTTAACTCTTTCGCAGGCAATGAGTGTGATAATATTTCACAGGCGGTGAGCATATTCGTCAATCAAAATGTGTCCAATTAGAAGTTTTATTGCAGTACTAATACCATTCCGACGTACAGGCATTAGACATCTTTTGCAACATTACTTTAACGTTGACCACAATTTCCTTATTACATTGCATGATGTTGTTCCATTTACCCATCTGTAATTGATTTGCTGTATTGAAGTTATCAAAAGAAGTTGCCAAAATATTTCTCATTTGCGCCTTACAGCTTTCTGGAACATTGTTGTTTTGTATCATTGTTGTCGTCTTTATCACGGTTTAACTGTTTTTAAAAATGCCGATATTGCCAATAGATATAGTATCGCCGCAAAATCTGCCCAAACACAAATATCTCTTCATGAACTAATCCAGCAAAAGGAAGGATAATCCAAACATCCAATTACTTTAAGAAGATTTTCAATCAAACTAAGTTTTCGAAATTTGATAAAAATTCTGAAGAAATTCCGCAAATTTTTGTTAAGTTAAAAAGTTCGAAGGGGTTAATTTAGCTCGTACAAAAAAATATTTTAACGCTATCTTAAATATGTCCAAGTATGTACGTATGCATTTCAAAGGTATTAATTTTTTTGACATTTCATGTCCATTTCTTATCAACAACAGTAAAAACTACCAATTTATCAATAACACATTACCACATTCATCTATTCATCATCATCTTGAACTTTAATATTATTTTATATGTATACCATCGCCATGATAAATTATTATAATCCGCTATAATAAAATTTTAATTTAATATTTTCGAGTTATATTTTTTTTTCTTCTGTCTATGTTATTAAATTGTATGATGTGAAATTATGTCATCATATTCTTAAATTTCTTGAATATGCCTACATTATGAATATATAAAAACATTAGAAATCGAACCTAAATTATGACTATAATTAACATATTATTTATTGTAAATAATTTAATAAAAATCAGGTAAAAATCTATTATTTATAGCGTGTTTATAAATTAATAATCTTGCAATTCTAGTTATTGTAATCTTTTTAATTGCTTTGAAGCGGTAGAATAACAAAAATGGTTAAAATTAAATCAGAATTTCTAATTTGAATTTTACAGTACAAAATAGTTTTTGATTGTAGCTAAAAAGAAGATTGGATTTGGGAAAAGAAAGTCGAAATGTTGAATCTCTATTATTTCAGCTCATATATCATCTTGATTGGCATGTGATTCGCAGCTGAAGAGCAAAAATCTATTACTATAATTAGTTTGCTGATCACTTAAATTTTCTAACTATTTCACACTTTTTAAGTCGAATAGAATTTTTGTATTCAAAAGTATGACTAGTTTTATGTATTTAACTCTCTATCTCATATATACGAATGCAATGTAGTAATTGTAAAAAAAAACTTACTAAAAATATACTTGATACATACTAGATACTAAATGTAGTACTAAATGTGTTAATACTAAATTTAATATCGAAATTGTTAATACTAAAATTTAGAACTTTTTTCTGTTGATGTAAACAGTTTGTCTTACCTAATATCGAAATATCGGAAATTTTATTTTTAGTATAGCTTTGGGGAGTGCATTTATTGAGCAAAACATATTCAGTAAAACATAAGCATAAAGAGCAGTGGTAGAACCAAGAGTCCAAAAATTCTTTGACTCTGAAAGGCCCAAATTTCACAGTAACCAAACAAAAACCTTAAATCTTAATAACCCATTATAAAATATTTTATTTATTCTCACACATTTTTGACCCTAGTATGTGATTAGATAAAAATTGTGGAATTTAAAATATCAAATTGATTCGGCTTATAAATTGTTAATAAAAAAAAATGTTAAAAAATACAACTATATATAACAGTAATTTTACACACCCGGTTTTCACATATAGTAGTTACGAAAAAAAAGGTTATAAATTTAAATATAAAATATTGGGTTAACTGAAATATATTAGGAATACTTATGTATAACCAATGGAAAACTTCATTAAACCTATAAAAAAAATTTAATTTAGCATTCCAAAATTACTTCCGTTGTCTTATTTTTTTTTGTAATAAAAAACTTAAATATAAAATTAAAATCTATGAATTTACCAAATTTGTCTACACCTATTACATATTTAGTAATAAGTTATAGCGACCACCTTAAATGTAAATTTAGACAAAATATTTTCTGTCATCTGTTTTATTTACATGAAAAAAAAAATTGAATTTTGTAAATTTGTGTCATGGATTTCAGCCATTTAATTCAATAAATCTTAAACAATTTTGGCACTCTGATACACCATAATCTGGATTTAGTGTTACCAATCTTAAAATTTTCTATTACAACACCTCTTACTCTATTGTCATTTGAAATCTAATATTATTAATATTTATTTGCCATAATAGAATTTTAATAAATGTCATATTGAATTTGCATAATATTATCGACTTGTATCTTGAACCAAATTTGCCATTTAGAGATTTAGCAATTTATACATTAATATTAAATTAAACAACAGAATTTATTAACTGCTAAATTACTTGTTTCGATTGTTTGATTTACAATTCGATTATGTACTTGATTATGATAAAAGAATTTTAATCAAACACTTAAATAAGAAAATTCTATGATAACCTATTTTGAATAGAATAATAAAGGCTTCAAAATACCGGTTGTTTCAAATAACTACCTATAATAATTAAGGTTATTAAATTTAATAGACCCTAAGTTGTCTAATAGAATTTTCTTACTACTAATTTACATACATTTATACTTACATATTTGCAGAATTTATAAAGAATATTACAGTGATGTGAGATTTTGTTGTTGTTGTTGTTTTTATTAAATAACAGGTGATGGCCTACCTTATGATTAAGAGAATTCCATTAAAAAAAAAAAAATAAAAACCAATTTACCTTGAGGGGCAAGAAAATAAAAAAATTTTTTTCTGTTTTTTTTTTTTTGTTAGCGCTCATATATGAAATGACAAAGTTGTAACTTCTTTAGAGGAAAAAAAAGCTTTCGATTTCATTCAAATCATTATAAACTTTAAATAACTTTTGTTGTTGTTTTTATTGTACATATACTTGTTAACAAGAAAAAAGAGCGATACCTGGTGGTCTGTTAAATACTATACATATATATATGTATTATGAAGTACAGTGGTTCAATCTGTTTTCGAGAAATTTAAAATCAATAAAATTTTTAACTTAACTGTTATTGGTTTACTGAAACCGTAGGGAATTGTCTGAACAATTCAATTGGCTTTTCATAAACATTTAGGTTTTTTTTATTAAATATATTTTCGACTTAAATTACAAGTTATAATATTAGCCGATTTCTAGTTCAGTTTTCTATGTTATTAATTCAAAATTGCAATTTTCTATTTACAGATTACTTTCATCTGCTATGGAATCGAGGAATCATCAACTTAACTCATGAGTACCTAAATAGTTCAAGGCTTGAAATAAAGACAAATTTCACCTTATATGGGATCCTAGCCATGCTGGAATACAAGCGGTTTACTTAAACCCTAAAGCGGTCTTTAAAGAATCTAAAGAACCTGGCAATAATACCGACTACATAACAGGGTAGATGCGCAGTAATAATATTTTAACCGGTGAGATAAAAAAATATGCTACAGATTTTTGGAACTCTGACACGGTTCAAAAACATTCTTTGTAATTCAAATTGGAAACAGATCCAGAATTTACAGAAATTTACTGATTTTTATCAATGAACTATTAATTGTTTTAAGTTCTAAAATAAAGACATGGAGATGTACAAAAGAGCGTTGATTGGATTCATCCCGGAGCTGCTTTTGGTATTATCTATATATAAAATAGAATATATTTGCAACTTATTAAAATATTATAATATTAAAAATTTTAGGTAAATTTTCCTGATAATGATATTCGAACATTTTATGAGGAACCCTAATAAATAAATCATCACTTAGTACAAATTAAGCTCGATAGAAATTATAAGAAAGATAAAAACAAACACTTAAGTAAAAAATTATAAAAAAAAAAAAAACAAAACAAAAAAACCCGGTAACCCAAACATTAAAAAAAGGTTCTTGTTCTTGTTTTTTTTCTACTCTCATCATTATTTACTGCTATTCTAAAAATGTTGTAGGGTATCTCGGATTCTCAATGAATTTAAATAATTATTTAGATTTAAATTTTTCCAATCTTTATATCATTTTCACTTGAAACGCCAATTTGAACAGTTCGGCATTTTAAAAGTTTGGATTAATTTCGAAAAAAAAAAAAAGAAATAAAAAAAATGAATAAAATTGTAAGTTTTTAACCATTAATTAAAAAATAGTAGATAAAAAGTTCGAAAAAAAATATTAAGTGCTTTAAAACATAAAATTATGAATGAAAGGTGTAAAATTATTAAAGTTAATTGTTAATTTAATTAACCAGAGAAACACGATAATTCTTTATATTAAATTTCGAATATGATTTCCTAAAGGTTTCGACGGCAAAAAAAAGGCTTTAATTAATTAAATTTTTATTATTAATTTGCAAAATTTAAGATATGGATAGTTTCAGTAGCTAAGATATTCAATAGTGTATAAAATTAATTATGTTAATTATTGTTATTAAACTTTGTTAATTTGTTTGATTCGAGTTAATGAAAGTTGAATAACTATTATAAAGAATTAAAGATGAAGTTTACCTTGGATTAACATAATTTAATTATTGAAAATTTTTTGAATGTGCTGTTAAAAATAAAATTTAAATAGTTTTATTTTTTTGTAAAAACGTAAATGATAAAAATTTAATTTGTATTAGAGAATCCTTTTTATAAAAGCAAAATGTACATACTTAGACTTGGATTAAAATTCTGAATAAAAGCTTCTATTGAATTAAATGGTGTATGTAAATAAATATTAATTGTAGAAATTTACGGAATTGTGCTCTTAGCGCATTTTGCTCAATGACGTATTAAGACGTACAATAAATACATTTTGTTAAAATATCAAAAAGTCAATAGAAAATTTTCAAAATTTTCATTTATTCAAAAATTAATGAATAATATTATAGAATCTATTATTTAGTTTTGTATACTTGTAATTAAAATTTAAGTCACTTACTTCATTGGAATATCTTATTAATTTTAATTAATTCACATTAATCGAAACATTAGAGCCATAAATTTTTTAATAAATTAAATGAATTGAAAAACAATTAATAGCAAATATTTTTGTATATGTCTAGTATTACATATGCATTCGATATTTTTAAATTAATTCTTATTATTTCAAATATTTTATTAAGTACCCTGAAAACTACAAAATTCTACCATTCTAGTAAATGCTGATTATAATTTAATTTCAGTTAATTGATATTATAACTCCGATTTTATATTTTTGAATTACAGGATTAATAATTATAAAGAATTTTAATATGAATTTAAAATTAAAATACAGTTTTGAATTTAAAAATTACTTACAAATTTAATTATCTTCCAACCAAATTGTCTATGTACGAAATTTATCAATTCAGATCTTATCAATTAATAATATTAAATGCACGATAATTATTAGCATGGAAAAATGAATTGACTTACCGAAATTATCGACATTAATGATTTGCATCAACATTTAAAATTAAAAATTTTTTATTTTTTTGCACGTTATTAAGCATATATGCATAGTTCATAGTTGTGATGTAAATTTCAAAAGTTATTTTTCATTCTTATTAATCTAATGTTTGCCTGCAATTGAACTACAATCACTAAGACTAGTTTTGATTATTCTATAATTAATTTATAAGAAAAGAATTTATTTGGCAATATTTCCCACATACCAACATTATTTTGCTATAAAAATATGTATGTGCTTCAATTTTCTCAAAAAGATATTTTGATGTCAAAAACTTTCTCTGTATTTCAATTACTTGCGAAGATAGCCAATTTTTTTCCCAGCAAAGTTCATTGCTAGCTGTAACAAAAACTTTACAATCCACTTTAACTTCACACGAATTCATCTCACAAATTTTATGTCATTCATCTTAAATATTATGCACAAATTGAAAAAAATAAATTTTATGTAATTTTAATGACTTGCAACTTGTTGATTCTTTTTTTTTTTAATTTTCAATAATTTTTATATATTTTAAACACTATTTGTAATGCACCATTTAATATTATAATATGAAAATAATTTATACAAAAGATTAATTCACATTAAAATATCTACAATGTATTCATTTAAGTTTAATCGCACATTAAAAAATACAAGATTTAATTAAAAGCCATGAAGATCTTTATTATTATTTTACTATTATTAATTTGTTATAAAATTTTAGAATTGTATCTTATATTAAGGATCTTTTAATTATTTCATTAATTCTTAAATTATGAATTTTTAATTTGAAACAGACACCACTTGAGCACTTTTAATATGTGTACGAACATATATTTATAGTTTTAATTAATTTCAGTGTGTTCATGAATAAATTCTGTTTCAAAAATAAATCATTTTAGACTTGCTATCATGCTTCACAGCTCCACTGTATGTCAAACTATTTTGTTTGTGATGCATCAGTTTTAATTAACTAAAAAGATGTCGACTAGTGAACAGTAAAAAATAATTGCAGTAATTATATTTTTGAAAGAATTAAGAAAGCAAAGGAAAGAATAGGATATATCTAAATATAGAGTAGTAAAACAAAACCATTATCTGCCACAATAATTCCTTCATCGGTCAAATTATGAAAATCATTAACCAGACTCTATATTCTGTAACGATTTCTGTTAGAAACAAAGTAATTGTATTGTAGAATGCACCTACATATGTATTCAATGACTTGCCTTTATTCGCTAGAATCCTCTCTTTACCCACTTAAAATTCAAAATCAATTATTTAACAAGTTTACACCAGTTACAATAAATCAAATGACAAAATAAATTATTTAAATTTATTGCATAATTTCATTATGGATATCCGTTATCAAAAAAATGAAAAACCTGTTCAAAAAATTCACATTGTTAAACGAATTCATTAATAATTTGTGTTATTGTTTAGATAATCATCTACATTAATAAATTTTTAGATAGAATTAACAAATAAGAGATTTAATTTCCGAAATAATTAATCAAATATGATAATTTGCATTTTTAATAATTATTATTAAAAAAAATTTTTTTTTGAAATTGCTTAATATAATTCAAATCATATGGAATTTTTTTTTAACCTTGTGAATATTGTCAAATATTTTGGACCAGTTTTAAAGTACCTCAATTGAATTTATTAAAAATTTTTTTTCTTTTTTGAAATATATACATAAGTAAATTAAATTCAAAATCAAAAGAACCACATAAATTCCAAAATTTATGAGAAATTTATAAAAAAAAAATATAAAACAGGATTCTGTTGAAAACTTCATCATAAATTTTTATAAATCACTTTGATTCTGGGAAGGATTTCTTTAGTTAAACTATATTCTTAATAATTAAAATAATAAAATAATTTTTAATATTATTCTTCTTTCATAAACACACTCATAAAAAAAATTAATTAGCGTTAAATTAAATGTACGACTTTTTTAATAACATTGTAGAAAAAAATGTTATTTTTAGTGCAAATTATTCAAATTTTGACAATAAATTTGTCATAAGATTTATTGGCTCTGAACTATTATACATTATATACATATTTGCAGCTTAATATACTACATGAATTCAGTAGCATTTTACATGCTCCCTCAACAATGATAATAAACACAAAAAGAAACTAGTTTCATGGCATCAAATCGATTAAAATTTTATATCGCCTTCAAGGACATCGTAAAAAAAAAATGCTAAAAATAAAATAAAATTTTTTGGTCATAACTTTTTATTTTGATTTTGGGTTTTAATTATTTAATTATTTTGTTTTGTTTTTATAATTCTGAATGATTTACGATTTTTAGAAATCGTAAAATATTTTAAAATCGATAAAAAATATGTATAAGAAACAACATGATTCGTGAAAGAAATCAGATCGACTGAAATTGAATCGATTTGTTATTATGACAATTTACATTTTAATTGAAATCGATTTTATTTATCATAAATTGAATCGATTTTAATTAAAATGTAGTAAAGAAATGAAATGCGTATCCACTAGTGATTTTAACTCCGCATGAATTACAAATATGTTTGTTTCCTATTGTTAAAATTTATAGGTGCAAAAATTTATCTTATATACAAAAGCAGTCTAATTGAAAACGCAGCATCGAAAAACATTAACATTATATAACTTCATAAATTTTAAATCTATAATTTTTGTACAATTGTACAAGACTTTAGATTTGTGACATTTCTGATTCAATTTCAATGTTTGCACACCTCTAAATTTAATATTTTCAAACTTAATACATAAAATGCTTTTTTTTTAAATTACAAATATTTTCAATTTAAGGTTGCCTCTTTTGTTCTATTAGCACTTTTAGTAAGTGCTAATGCACAAAACACATTGGAAAGAGATGTTCTCAATACGATGATGTCAAAGATTTTATTAGAAGAATACAATAATGTTCCAACTGAAGATGGTTACAAATTCTCGTAAGTTTGATTTATTTTGAAAATTTTTTTTTTTTTAGGTTTTGAGGCATACATGTAGATGCTCATCGAAAAATTATTCAAAATTTGTGACGTTATAGCCTTGTGATAGGTCAAAAACTTTTCTAATAATTTCAGTAATAAGCACTCAAAAAGGAAGAAATGCAAATATAAAGACAAAATTTTTTACAGCTTTTGATAAGGTTTTCAAGGTCAATTAAGAGTGGGATCATAGTCTGGAAATTCGTTTTTCAAATTATTTAAAGAATATTTATCATTATTTGTAATAGTACCGTTATTGTAATAATAATAACGGTTTCGTTTATAAGCAAGTTTAGAGACAAACTTTCAATTCTATTCCAGACTTTCAATTGACCTTTTAAATATTTTATGTTTCCCTTAAAATTTTATGCTTCCCTTAACATTCTGTATGTGTTTTTGACTATGACATTGAAAAAAAAAATATAAATAACTCGGGCTGCGTGCACCAACTACAATGTATCACTCCAAACTCCAAAAAAATTTTTTTTATACTGAATAAATTTTTTTAATATTTTATGACATTTATTATTAAATTTATTAATTATTTATAGTTATAAAACATCCGATGGTAGTGTTAGAGAAGAAGTTGGCATTATTATGAATCCAGGTACAGAACAACAAGAAATGGTTGTTATGGGATCATATGGTTATGAAGATAGTGAAGGTACTAGAACTGTAACAATGTATACAGCTGATAAAAATGGTTATAAACCAAGAGTACAAGTTAAAAATCGTAAACTTAATCCAAAGCTTTTAGCTTCTTTAGCCGGTAAATAAAGAAAAAATTGCGAAATTTTTATTGCATCGAAAAGAAAATGCATCTTTTGTTGTTCTTTCTACTCCTTATTCTTCTTCTACTCCTTATTATTATTTAAATTTTATTCATTCTGTAATGATTACATATAATTTCTTTTTTTTTTTTCAAAAAAAAATTCTTAAAAATATATTTTTGCACTGAATAAAAAATAAACTGCCAAAATTTTTATAATAAAAAGTTTAAAATTATTAAAATAAGGTGTGAAATTTACAAAAAAAAAAAAATGTTGTGATTCATAAGTAAATTTAAAACAAAAAATAAAGTGAATGTTAAATATATTTAGGATATAGACAAATAATTGAATATTCTATGTCAAAAAACATTTGTATATAAAGCAAAAAACTAGATTGAAAATAAAAATTTTATTATAAATTTTTAATTAATTCTCATATATGTATGATCAACATTTTGTATGTATGTATATTATTCATAATAATTATTCAAGGTGATCAAGGAAGATTCTTTCGATGGCGTTCAGACAACAACAATAACAAAAAAATTATTTTTTATCATTAAAAAATTTTTTTTAGATCTTTTGATCAACTGTTTTTTAAGGTAAAATTATTATATAATAATAATAAATGTCTAAAACGGTAAGATTATGGGAATCTGGTTCTTAATTTAATATATAAAAAATATTTTTGTTATTTTTTCTTTTATGTGTTCATTTTTTATTAGAATTTTAAATTTGTTAATTTTGTTAAACAGTAAAATTATACAGACATATGTACATAACTATATTCTATTAAGATTTATCCGGATTTTTGACAGTTTTTTTTTTTTTTTATATTAGGCGAGGTAGAAAATTTGATATTGCGTTACCGAGTGACATAATTATTGCATAATATGCAAATTATTTCATCATCATTTTTAAAATTTTATTTCTATTATGAACTACTAAAATAATCACAAATTTTGAGTTAGAACAATTTAATTATTTAGATAATTTAATTGAACAAAAATTCGAAAATTAGTTATTTATTAAAATTTTATAGATTTTGAAATAATTTTTTCATTTGAAGAATATTATTCTTACCATTCTATGTCAAAAATTTGTCATTATATTTCACATTATTTGAGTAATACAGTAGAATATTATCACACTATTGTAAAACAATAATCATTTCACTTACTCTAATTAATTAATTAAATTATTAATTCTCACTTATTTTTGAGAAAAAATCTATTTTCCTGAAAAATTCACTTTGCATTTTTTGATTTCTTCAAAACTAGTTTTTGTTAATTATCGTATTTTTGTTTTCCGCAGCCCAATTGAATTTGAGTAATTTTAATAATTTTTACTTAATCAATTAGTAAATATAATGATCAAGGGTATATGATAACAGTATTGTCACAATTATTATATTTTTCAAGGTATTAATAATAAATATTATTAATTATTAATAAAAAAAAACAATTTCGTAACCATATTTTAATTATAATATAGAACAGGTTCAGAAGAAGAACATATTCATGTAATTTAAAAAAAAATTTTAGTAAATTTGAATATAATTAACAAAATATGGCGGAAATATTGAAAATCTTCCGGTGGCGCTCTAGTTTTATGTTTAAAACAAGTCTAATTTGAATTACATATTTTCATATTTTATGGAAATTTTAAATTTTCCACTTCTTCTTATGAAAATCTTATTTTTTTATATTAGGGACTACAAAGTTTTTGTCTGTGTTTTTATATTTTATGCTCATAAATCATAATTAATATTACAAATATTTTAATTCGAGCATTATTGTAATACATTTTTAGTATAAAACAATTCTGGATAGAGAATTCTTTTATGTTCTAGAGGAAGAAAAATCATATAATTTCAGTGGAGTTTCGGTCTTTCAATTTATACAATTACAAGATTGAACAGACAATTATGTAGTCTGTTTCAATTTTAAAATAAATAGTCTTAGAAGATTAGATAACAGAAGCTATGAGCTGACCAGCTTCTTGTGAACATGATATCCCAGAGACTGGAATTTGATCTTACAAATTAAATAAATCTAAAAAAATTTTCAGGAACCAGAAATTGGATTTTTGCTAAAGATCAATTTCAAATTTTTTAATATTGATTTTTTGTTTTGCATATTCGTTCCGTCATGATGAGATTACATTAGATTTGTTTGTAAAATTAAAATTGTAGTATTAAAAAATTAAAGCCCAACTAAAAATTAATTTAAAATAATTTATTATAAAAGATATTACAAAATTCTTAAAAGACGGTGATTTTATTTTCCAAAATTTAGGTTAAAATGTCTGAAAATAAAAAAAATAAAATTAAAATCTAAAATCATCAGTACCCTATAACAAGAAAGAAATAAGAATTTTATTTTAATAAAAAGAACCTAATACAGACTATGTCAACCTAAATTTTGGGTTCTTAGAAATAAAATACATAATATTTTAGGAGCTTAAATCTAAGCAAAAGTATACAAATAAGATGAGAACTAAATTTGAAAATATTTAAAAATACAAACTAAACCTATATCGAGAAGGACAATTAACATTATTAAAACAATTTTTTTCTTTTATTCTTCAAAGTTCAAAAAAAACTTCAAAAAAAAAAAAAAATGATTTTTTTTTTTTTATAAATTTTTCAGTCTAAAAGTTACGCATCAGCTTTGAAAAGAAATCTCCGTTTCCTAGGATCAATTATTCTAGTTTTAAATTTTAAGCTACGCGATGATGGTGTTTTAATAATGTCAGATGCTTGTTCTGATACGGTGGGTTCTTCTAATTTTTTAATTTCTGTTAATGTTTCTGGTGATTTCTCTAATTTTGATTCTAATTCTTGTGTTTCGGATGGCACTGAATTCAATTTATTATCATTTAAATTACTATTAGTTTTTAAATCTTTATCTAAAATATCACTACTTGTTGATTCAACTTTATTATGCTCTTTAATTTCTTCATCTTTTGATTTTGAATCTAAAACTTCGACTGGTAGTAGTGGTTCTGAATTTAATTTTTCTTCATTTTCAGGTTTAGGTTTTAATATTTCCATTTTATTAATAGTTTCTAATGTTGCACTTTCTTTTACATCTTTTAAGACTTCCGATGTAGAAGCGTCTGATTTCAATAAATTTGAGTCGGTTTCTTTTACTGGTGTTTCTGCTTTTAATGGTTCTTCTGAATCCTTAACGATTGGTTTATTTTCATCAACGGACATTGAATTATCTTTCAATAAATTTGCATTCAATGGGTCAAATATCCTATGATATATGGGTTTAATTTCTTCGGAAGATTGTTGCGTTTCAGATGATGTTTTTCCTTCTTCATTTTTTGAATTTCCTGATTCTAAACCGTGTGTTAAAGGTTCACTAGATTTATCTTCATTAGGAGTAGCATTGGTATTAGTTTCAGATTTTAAACTCTCGTCTTTTACTTCATCTTGTAATAACTGTTCTATTCTTTGTATTACATTCAATGCATCAGAATTACTTAAATCACCTTTTGTTTTGTAATCTTCAAATTGATCATCAGTCAAAAGTTTTACTGGTATGTGAGTCATATGATTGTAAAGTTCATGTTGCTGATGAATAAATTTTTGCATAGCATCGAATTGATTCAATTCTGTTTTTTTATTTTCATTTTTATTTTCGTTTAAGTTATCACCTTCCTTATTTAAAAATGTTGTTGTAAACGCGTGCTCTGAATTTTCAATTTTTTGGTCATTATCTTTCATCTGATCATTTGATATGATATTGCTTGTTGTCAATTCAAAAAGTTGATTATTATTTAACTGCTGTTTCTCTTCATGTTGTTCTTCTTGTTGCTCATGTAATTCCGTATTATCCATAATTGCTGGTTGCAAATTTTCTTGTTCTGTATTTTGTTGTTGTTGTTGCTGTTGTTGTGAATGCAATAAACCTGAAACAGTGAATTGTGAATTTTCGGTTTTATCAGCACCATCATCTACTTTTGAAGTTTCGGCATTTACAAGACTTGAAATTAAATTGATTATCATTGACTGTTGATCAATTGGTTGATTATGGCTAACAGAACTTCCATCATCATTATCCTGTTTATTTCCATTTAGATTGGGTTCTTCCTTATTATCTACGCTATTAACTTTATGTTGTTCTTCGTTCTCTTCATTTTCTTTTATGATTTCTCCCTTTTCAGAGGGCAATGACTCCTCTACTTTTTCGGGGAGTTGAATTTGTTCTTCATTAATCAATTTAATGGACTCTTGTGATGGAATATTTTCAGTTTTCATATCAGTTACGTGGTTTGGTTTTTCATCATTAAGTGATGTGATTAAAAGGTCATTGTCTTTATTTTTTAAATTTTCTTGCATTATTTCCTCGTTTTTGGGTTCTTCATTTGTAACAACAGATTCTTTAACGGTGTCAAGAATTTTTTCATTTTCATTTTTCATTTCTGGTTCTACTAAAACTGGTGGAACAGGTGATGCCGGTTTTGGAAGAATAGGCATTTTATTTTCTTCAGACTGCAATAGCGGTTTTTGTGGTTCTACTGGTTTTTCAATTTGCTCAGGTTTTAATGGTTTTTCTATAGGTTTTAAGGCGGGTTGTTCTTCAATTTTCAGTAAAATAGGTTCTGGTATTGGTGGTCTTATAAAATCTTTTTTGATATTAATTTTGTTTGGAACACTTGGCTCTTGATTTGGTGAAATTTTAATAATTTCACTCGTTTTTAAAATATTTTTCAATGGTTTTTCTTCACCATTAAATTTATGTTTTAGACTGGATGGAACATGTGGTCTTTTACGTTTTAGCCCTGATTCCGTTTTAAATGGCTTTTTCGAAGCTTCTTTTATTGGACCTACAGTTACAGGTTCTGGCTTAGAAATTTCTACTTTCGGAAGATCTACTTTCGGGAGTTCTACTTTTGAATGTTCTATTTTCGGAAGTTCTACTTTTTTTTTATTATCTTTATTAGTTTCTGGGCGGCGTGTAAATCTCTGGTATTTTGTTGTTAGTTTTTCTACTAGTTTTGCTGTGGTAATTTCAATTTCTAAGGGCAATGAAGTTGTTAATGTACTCGAAGGTGTTACTTGTTCAGTTGCAGTTACTGGCATGACAGTTGTTGTTGTTGTTGCTTTACGTGCGGGTGCTTTCCTTAAAGAATTCTTTTTTTTATGAGTTTTAGCAGGTTTTCGAATTTCAGGCTTAACTTCATCAACTCTTTTTTGAATTTTTTCAATAACTTTTTCTTCATCATCTTTAATCATAGTCTTTTGTTGATTTTCCGGTTTTCGTTCGAGCATTGAATCTTCCATATTTGCATCTCCCATACCAATATCTGAAGTCGTTTCAGCTTCATTACTATGAACTTCCATGGATGAATCTATTATACCAAAATTTCTATTTAATTCATAAAATTTAACAGATTCTTCGCAGCCAAATGACATATCTTCTTCACGCATACAGGTGAATGAATCCTATATAAAAATTATTTTATTAAATTTAAATATTTTGCATTATTATGTTATGTTAATAAATAAAAAATTTCTTACTTGACTAAAGACTGTTTCTTCAGGACAAATAAAACTCCATCTGAATGTGTTCTCTCTGCCATCAGCATATACAACAGGCATACAGACATGGAAAATTTGACAATCATTTTCAATATCTGCATAATAACCATATTCACGATTTTTACAAGAGAATCCATCCACAATATCTGCACGAATTGAAGTTGCATTACTTGGTAAATTTAATGTTGTCATTGCAATTTCAGCTTTTTCACTTGATGACATTTTCTCTTTTGACATATCTTCCCTTTTTATTTCATCAGCCATTATGATTTCCATGTTCTGAAATGAAAAGAGAAAATTTTTTTTTTTTAATTAAAAAGTCTACTCAAAATAACTGTTTATTTGCTCATCGCGAGAATTTTATGTAGTAGTTTTTTTGGCATGTATTTCATTACAAGAGGGGTTTGAATGTTTTCAAAAAACAAATTACCGAAAATTGAAAATTTGTTGGAAATGATAACATGAGAGAGGGGGAAAATATTTTATTCTGATGATTAAAGAAACCGTTTTCAAAAATGTTAAATTTTACGGTAAATTGCAAGAGAAAAATTATGATTGTGAGAACCGATTTTCAAGTAATTTTGTTCGGAACTTTGGTTTGAACTGTTCGCGACAGTGAGAATTACTGAATAAGAAATACTTAAGTAATGAAAGATTTTACTCAAAAATTTACACACAACCTGAATTTCCCAATGATTTCTTCTATTTTTGAGACTTTCCTTAAAACATTCCTTTTGTCATTGCAATTGACCAAGATCAAATACGTGTAAATCTACTAACAACGGCATTATTTATACAAAAAATTGAAATATTACTGCTGAATAAATCAAGTTGGAGTTAAATATGCTTCTAAACAAGTGCCAATATTTTTTATTGTTCTACTACAATGTAATACGTAAAAATAATTTAATATAAAACTCTTTAGCACTACTATTGTAAATTTTTATTCTCTTCATAAATTGCATTTGCATCAAAATACGGAATTCAATTAACATTGTAGATACTCAAATAAATTTATATTTATACAACTAAATATTATATATGTATGCAAATAATACAGAAGTTATGTATTTCCGATTCAATCATATAAATATTGACATCCTGTGCGGTTAGAATTTTCATGAAGGGCAGACAGATTATTTCCTCCTTCAACTTGTCAATTGTTAATCAAAAAAAAAAAATGTGTAAAGAAAAAAGGCAAAAAGCACACACATAAACTGAATCGGAAAAAATTACACTTGGACACTTCAAAAATCATATATAAGAAGAATATAAAAAGAGAAGAAAAAGAAATTTAGTACACAGTTAAAAACGCATATTTATGATCGCAAGTACACAAATAAAATAAAAAGAAAAATGTGCATTTCGGCTTGCGATCTAAAAACCCGTGCACCGCACCACCTCATATCATAATTTCACTTTAAAATTTTTTCTCTATATACGACTGTTTATTTGATTTTTCTCTATGTTTTACATATATACTTACATACATATGTACCTGCATATGTATATTTTTTTTTGATGATCAAGACGTGCTTCGCGCATTCTTCATACCAAAAAAAAAAAAATATATTTTATTTAAAATATATTAGCCTTAGTTTTATAATATATTTATGCAAAGCGATTCGTCAGACTAAAAGACGTGTTTAAAATTTGAAAAGGGAACCAAGAAGAAGAAGAGACAAAAAAAAAAGAGGCGATATTATAACTGCGATATGCGATAGAATACCAAGAATACGGTGATATTATGAGCACGTAATTGTTAAGAATTTGAGCTGGAGTTTTTTTTTCCATTATTTGCTTTTCATACAAAACTATTCCAGATGAAAAATTTACAAAAAATTAAAAGGTGATGAATTTTTTGAAGTTTAATTTTTGAAAAGTTCCAGTTGAAAAAATTTATTCGTTTATTTATTTTTTTTTTAACAAAAAATCATTAACGAGGAATTCCAATTTTTCTTTTTTCTTTTTTCACCATTTTTTACATTTAATTTTTTCAAAAATCAATAAAATATTTTGAAATTTCTAAGAGTTAAATACTAACAAAGTGAACGCTTCTTACACAGAGAGAAAAACAAACAAAAGGTAACCAAAAAATTCAAAATAGTGAATGAAAAATTGCATTTTGCGTACATGCAAATTGCATATAATTTTCCATTTAAGTCAATAAACTCAATATATTGATGACATATAAGCGTTAATCCGCACCTGTACGCAAAATATTAATGATTTACCACAGTAAATAAATTATTTGAACGTTCTTTAATTCATTTATGATTAATTTTCAATATATTTCTGCTTTTATATGAATGGTAAAACTATAAGAAATTTGAATTAAAGACAAACAAAACAAAAAAGAATAAAACAAATAAAATATTCAGCGGAACTACGGTAAAAACAGGGTGTATACAGTTTGTGTAAGAATTTAGAGAATTCGAGCTAGTTATTCAAAACAAAAAAAAAAAGAAAAAGCAGAAAAAAAAATAGGTTACTACCTGGAAAATGGATTTTTCTTTTGTGTTTTTATACTTTTTCTTCTTTGGTTATTTTAATGAGTAATTGAAATTTGCAAAATGCATAATTAAAATTTTTTTGAATTAAAATCACATATTTTTAACAATATTTTTCCATTTTAGAATATTTGATCACAAAAAAAAAAGGCACTGACCTCTTTTATAAAGAAGAAAATGTATCGATGTGACATATACAATACCGATAATTCCTTGAATGTCAAATTTGATATTGTTTGTCTGAGTATGATAAAGATCAGAAATCGGATTGCTTTTACGGATTATTTATTAACTAGACGGGACGGGGCCTGACAATTCTACGTATACATAATGTAAAAGAAACAATTTAGAAAAATTAAGAATCAGTTGTATTTGTCAAAGTAGTACATATGTCATTGCATACTTATAGGGATTATTCACATCTGCAATCAAATATACGATATACACTAAGTGTAGCAATTAACTGTAATAAAACAAAAAAAAAAATAATGTACTCTTCTTGATGAAATTTAAATGTTTATAACCGTATTATTCTATATTTCAAGACATTATTCCTAACTGAAGCTGTTTCTTATGGGTACTATTCATTTTCCTGCGCACAAATGAATTTCAAAACATCTTAGAAGCTTAAAATATACGAATATATTCAGTATTCGTTTAAAATCTTCATTTTATCTTTGCTTTGGTAATCAAAAATATTATGAGGCTAAACATGCTATTATCAGGCTGATGCCAAAACAGAAGCCAAAAAAAAACGGAAAGTCCCTATATCGTCAAACCGATGGATATATCTTACGAACCAGATATGAGAAGAAAGAATGGATTTTAGATAAAACATAGGCTGTTATTAAACAAAAAAAGGACGCAAGAAAACAATTGTTAACAAATAACGATGCAAACTGGCTTGTATGTAGAAGAATTAAGAAAATGGCAAGAAGTGATAAGAGAAAATTCGGCAACAACATAGCCAGAGAACCTCAAATAGCCGCAGAACAACAAAACGCCCAATTACCCCATAGAAAAATTGATATTCTCCCCAATAAGAACCACCGCGAATTAAACTGATAAAGAGTAGAAAATTTTACCTTTCGCCAGAATCGTAGGTGAACCAAACAGTCTAACACAATAACAGACGTTTGAAACTCGGCTAACAGATTGATAGTCGAGTTTCAAACGTGCTTTCGCCACAATCAAGCGAAACGCGATCTGGGCAGAATCAAAGAAGAACAGAATTCCTGCCAAACTAATACAAATCATAAGGACGTTTTACAATGATTAGGATAAATTAGTGTTACATAATGCAAACTCAGTTCCACCATTGAAACCTTAGTAGTAACTAAATATGCGCTCCTTTCCCGTTGCTGTTCATTATTATAGTAGACAAATGTATGAGAGAGGGAGAACTACTACGCAAAAGAATTAGTTAGCAACTCGCACATAAATTTATAACAATTATAAAGCCGAGAACATACTGGTAAAGTCGTTCTACTGTCTCAGTCAGCTGAAGGTATGAAAACAGGGAAAATATGTCTAAAAATAAACATATAGCCAAGATCAAGCTGATGAGAATTAATAACACAGGTCAGGCCCCCGTTTATGTGCAGTCACCGTCATTGAGAAGATATTAGAATTCGAATTTCGGAGTACGACAATAACAACATAGAACCTCAAACTTGAATGTTGAACGCGTGTGATAAGTCAGTGCGATTTTACGGATCGAAACATAATTGATGTCCACAGCTACCATGCAAAAGATACAAGTCTTTGTTAATAAATGTCTCAAAACTATATGCAATGTTTTCTGATCACTATGAACTATGAACCAGGAGTTATATGAGGTAATGACGATACGAGATCCAATAGAATTATAACAAGTACTGAATTGAACGTTTTTATCGTTGAGAATTTAATAAGTACTGAATTGAGCCTCTTCAATTGTACAAAAATAATTATGTACAACTACTTTTCAAAAATTTACCTTTCAGCAAAATATTCTAGTAAAATATTATAAATTTTCGTAATGAGACAATTAAAAATAATAATTAACTTCATAATTATCTATAATATTTTAATAAAATATTTACAAATAGATAGAAAAAATAAATAAAAATTATTTTAGCAGGAAGTAAAGTGTTCAAAAAAAAAAAAAAACTATTTATGTATGCATAAAAGAAAGTTCTACACTTTTTTCTCGCTTTGATTTTTTAATTTTGTATTTTTTATTTTAAATTGAAATTTATCGATAAAGTTTTTCATTTTTTATTTTATAATTGATTATTAATTTAACTTTTTCTATTTCGAATGTATAATAATTATAAATAATTTTTGTATACATGTACATACATACATATATATACATAAACGCAAGTTTATAAATTAAAATACTTAAGTATTATTTTTCACTTCTCTTCTAAATTATTATAATGAATGAACACAACTTATGAATTTTAATTTTAGTTCAATATAATTGGAAGTTGAAAATTATACTTTCTATTCATTACCAAAATTATAAAAAAAAAAATTATTTTTTGAAATTTCTATGCGATGTATGTGTATGTAAGCGAAAATTTTAATTGAATTGATTGTATTATAAATAAAGACAATAGAACATCAAAGTTCACTGATCGTATTTCTTATAATTGGGTGTATAGATGGCAATACTATATTGCATAAACGCGTGTTAATAGCATAATTTAACATTAATGTAAATGAATGTCAAATTATACACGGTTTAATTATTAGTTTAAAATAGTAAAAAAATATTAAAATAATTTTTGTTAACACTTTCTAATTAGAGGGAAACCTTTATTAATTTAAATCTTTTTTGTAAATTATAATTTAAATGATACCATACCATATTGAAAATTTCAGTAGAAAATTAAATTTTCTACATTATAAATTAAAATTTGATTTATATTATAAAATTTTGTTAGTGTCGCTCAAAATTCCACAAAATATTCTTAAAAACTAAATAATTTATTGTATTTAAAATTAAATTGTATTTAAATTAAAAATTGAAGTAAAAAATATAAAAGAAAAATTCATAATAACCTTTTTTAATCCAACAACAGGTGTCGCTACCGTTGTACTGCATAAATACGTCAGTAAAATCACAATTTTCCACATATTTGCAAAAAAATTTATTTTTTAATCAATGATAAAATCAAATTTCAAAAAAAAATATTATTATGGCCCTTTTCTTGATTTTATAAATAGAATAATATTTAAATATAATCCTGCAGGATGTCAAATTTCTTTTTCTTTAACTTAAAATTTGAAATTCCATAAAATCCATGAATTCTTTTTTAATTGAATTTATTCTTGTGCACTTGATGATTTTTCTTAATTATCCTTGAAATTTTTTATTACGAAAAAAAAAAAAAAAAAATAAATAAAATTTAATTTTTTCTCACTATTTTTATAAAAATTTTAATCCTTTTATAATATTTTTTAAATTTTAATTAAATTAATTTTCATTATAGGTATTTATCTAAATTTGAAATGTCACTTACTTATCCTACTTTTTTTTTTTTTCAAAAAATTATTTAAATAAAAAAAAAACAGTGTTCTTATATATTATTCTGATTTAATATTGTGTTGAAAATTTAGAAGTGAATTGCAAATATTTAAAAAAAATATATATACATATACACAATAAAAACAATAAAGGTAGTTGTAAAAGTACAACTGACCTGCGTGGTCGGATATCACTAACTGCGCTTTTTTCATTTATGGTACTACCAATTTATATTCTTTCAAATAGATTTATTATAAATTCAAAGAATACCATCATCATATAACTACCATTTAACTTCTATATTTTATATATGTATATTAGTTTATATATAGTGTTATACTTTGCATTATTTATACCTACAATTCTTCTTACATTGTGTGTGCGCTCAATCCGCTCATATAAAATATTTTGTGAATTGTGACGAATGTTAAAATTTAAAACTTATATAAGCATATTGTATTGCATGCTTAGGTGGAAGCAAGAATAATGTACATTAATTCGTACATACATTATTATGCTCATGTAGTTTACATACAATTACAAAATACAAAAATATCGTATAGGTACTTAACGTATAAGAAAGTAAAAGAAAGAAAAAGCTTCAAAAGAAAAAAGAGAAAGAGACACAAGAAAGAAATTTTTTTCTCATTATTTTTCTTTTTTGATTTTATGTTGTATTTTAGGTTTTTCTTTTTTTTTTTGCGATCCGTCCGTATAATTATGTTCTTCTGGTGATTTTAAAAGTTTTGTAAAATTATTTGACAATCTTCGATCTTATCAAGAATACTATGTTTTCGCAGTATTCTTCAATTTGTATTCTTAATATTTTTCTTATTATTTTCCAAAAATATTTTATTACAATGTTTGTTAAGAACAAGAAGATCGAGAATATTGAGATGATTACACCAGAATTTTCATATTGAAGACAAATGATAAGCATGCGCGCATAAGACCTATCTTCGTAACTGCCCTTTTTTATATGTATTCGAATAAGAAAACAAAAATTAATTTGATAATTTCAGAATTTAATTGTTTTCTTAAGAATTTTAAAAATGATAAAATTTCAAAGGGCAAAAAACTTTTTTTTGAACAATCAATAATTTTTGAAATAAGATGAAAATTAAACTTTTTCTTTGGAAATTTAAAAATTCATGTACCCATACGACAGCAATGAAAAAGGATAACAGAAAAAAAGGCAACTGGATATGCAATTAATATAATTACAATTAACCAAAATAATGGACCTAACTGTATCAGATTCAGTTTTTTTATTGCTCTAAAAAGAGAGTAAGAAAGAGAAAAAGAAAATAATTTACAGTTATTATTTATTTTTTGGAATCCTTTGCTGAATTTTAGTTGCTTTTGAAAATTTTAATAAATTTACTTTATATGTACTTATTCAGAGTTATAAAAGGATGTCATTTAAAAAATTTCGACAACAAAAAATGTAACAAAAAATAAAAAAATAAAGATGAAATTTTCTTGGAATTCTCTACATTAAGGCAAAAATCATTAATCAGAAAGAATATACAAGAATTTATAAATTTGATTTTACAAATTCTTGCAATATTATGAAATTTTTGTATTTTTTTATACATATGTGCATATATAAACGCACCTAGTTTTTATTTATAATTCCAAAAAAAAATTAATTTGTATTTGTACAAACAATCACAAAAAATCAATTTTTTTTAGCTTTGGTAAACAGAAACTTTTGAATTGCCGCAAACGCAGACAGACTACTAAAATTAATCATTATCTAATTTTTTATATTGTTTTAATTTTTTCATAATGCTCATTTGTTGTAACAGTGACAATATTCAAAAAATACAATTTCTGAGTTATACAGATCTTAGAGATTTCTTTTTCTGACAAAGAACCAATTTCTCTAGCCTGAAAATTGTTACTTACTATTGATTATAAAATAATTCTTTCCTCATTATAAATTAAAAAACATTAGTTTTAAAATAAAATTTTTGCAAATAGGCAAAATTTTAGTTGCTTCAGTTTTGCAAGTTGCCATCTTCTAACAGTATGCAATATTATCAAAATCATTGAAGAAAGTATGCATATAACACCTAAGAAAGTCATGTACAGCAACTCTTTATCTTAGCTCTCCAAATATGAAGAATATGCTTTTTTATAAACCATTGGTACGATCAAAATTTATTTGAGCTAAACTGAAAGCTTACTTGCTCTGGGTTTTAACTTAACACTCAGACTTGGTTATAACAGGTCTTGTATATGCATAAATTATGTGCATAAATTGTAGAGACAATATATGCTTGTATGTAGTCGATGTTTGTAATTCTTTGTAATTTTCGTTCATATTCTAAATGTATCCAACTAGGTGATCTATTGATAAGCCTATTCATTTGAAATGGTAGAATAATTCAAGCTAAAATAAAAAAAATTTCATAAAACGTGAATTAGAAAAAATAGCATTAATCAGTAAATTAGTTTAATAGTGCCCAAATACATAACACATACCTAGTGCAATATATGTATATACATATGTATGTACATATTAATGTATCTGAGATCACACTTCTTCCCTATTTTGAATAATATCCTATACACCTGGGCTTTGATTTAATTATTGCATTTTAAGAAGTCAGTTTTAAAATCGCACTTATATTTTAAAAGTGATTTAGTTTGGTTTTCCATAAATGTCAGCATTAAAACTTAAAACAAACTGCAATTGTTATAAGAAAAAAAATACATACCTTAAGCTGCGTTTACACGACGACTTTTGCATCAATGTTTAAAATACGGCTCATTTTTAAACTTTTTCGTGTTATTTTGCATTAATGAAATATCAACAACACTTGTAATAATAGGAAAAAATATACAAAAAAAATTGTTCTTTTACATTATGTCTCAACTATTTTTACTGTTCGTCTTATACTTATCTATCAATATACGTTAATATTTTATTATAATAAATTGATTTCCCGCCTGGTGCAAGTTATGAATAATAAACGGAAATTGTATAATGTATATGAAATTTATGAAACATTGTTTGACAAATTCAAAACCATTGATTTTAAAAGTGAAAATCGGTTATTATCAAAATGAAAAAAAAAAATCTTAAATTACACTTACATTGTATGAAATTTCCAACATTTTTACTGAAACTGACCATATTGCAAATGACATTTAGTCATTTTTTTGTTCTTTATTCTTTATATACATAAATAATCTTTGATTGTTTTCCGAAATGTCAATTAATTGTCTCATGAAAATTCGCTGGAATTACTAAATATTACAAAATTCAATAAGAATATTTTAGCCGCTCAACAAATTATGTAAACATAATAAAAATTACGAAAAGGATTTATATACTGATCACCTTTTGCATAATAATTACAATATGTATTTAATTGAAAGTGAATAATTGAAGGAAACTTCCGGTAAATGACGTAAAAAATACAATAAGCAAGTAATAAGAAAACCGCCGAGTTGAGAGTGCAGTTGAGAATTTTCGCGGAAAGAATTCTTTTATTCGTTTTGTAGTAATTATAAATAGGTGAACGTTTTCTTCAACAATTGAAGTTCTTTTATATTATTCAAAAATAGAATTAATTAGAAAAATTTAATAATGCAAAATGGTTTTTTTCTAAATAGTGAATTCTTAATAATAAGAATGATTTTTTTTGGAAAAATCGTTTATATTAATGTCATAAATGTTATTAAAACCACATTGTAAAGATCGTATACTTCCTGCCTCATATTTTTGCTCCCATATACATAATTGCTCTCTATTGTGAACCAAAATAATATTATTGTATGATTTTGACATCAAATGCCAAATCTTAATAAAACATTTCAAATTCGAAAATAAAGACTAAATTTACTATATAGCCCATGATTAATTGAAATAATTACAACAGGTGTGTGTTAAAATCACGAAAAATATGATAATTTATAATAATAATTACTTTTTCTTTATACACTTTAACTCCTTGTATGGTAAAATTACTCATTCACTTTACCATAATGTAAGTAGTAAGACTCAATTATATAGGCGTAAAATATTTACACTCTAAAACTGGAATATAAATTAATAATATTCCATTTTATAATTTCATGAATTTCATAATTATAGATTTGTTTTAGCTACATGCATATACTGTATATGTATTTTAATTTCTAACATAGTAATAATAATTTGATATCAATATAGAAATTCAAATGCTTTGCACATTACTTACTAGAAATTTTAATTCAATTATGAATTAAATTATAAATATTAATTTCAATAATATGTATGTAAGAATTTCGAAAATTATGAAACAATTCTAATTAATTTTTCACTTACAAGTAAAAAAGAACGCTTATAATAGAATTTTAATTGAAAGAAAATTTGCACGTCTAAAATTTTACTTAACCGGCATTTTTTTTCACGTTCTTTTACTGCTGCAGACAATAACAGCGCTCATTTATATGTTTGTGTAAATAACAAACACACATTAGCAGCGTAGAAATTATTTTTCTTTTCGGTATAGCAACACTAATCCAGTACAAAAGAATTTTGAAAACGAACCCAAGGAGTGCCATTTCAATCAGTTGGAAACACACATTATCTATTGAGTGTAAAGTTATTGAAGAGTTCTTTTTTGAAGC